GAGGCGGACTGGTCGATCGTGGAGCGGGGGTGGAAGGCGCACGTGCTCGGCGACGCGCGGCCCTTTAAATCCGCGAAGGACGCCATCACCACCTTCCGCGAGGAGGATCCGAAGATGACGGATCAGTACTATCCCCCCTTCGTGATCGTCGACGAGCAGGCGGCGCCGATCGGGACCATCCAGGACGGCGACGCGGTGCTTTGCTTTAACTTCCGCGGCGATCGTGTGATTGAGCTCTCCCGCGCCTTCGAGGAGGAGGACTTCACGAAGTTCGATCGCGTTCGCCACCCCAAGGTGCGGTACGCCGGGATGGTGCGGTACGACGGCGATCTGGGGATCCCCAACAACTTCCTTGTGCCGCCGCCGAAGCTCTCCCGCGTGAGCGAGGAGTACCTCTGCGGCAGCGGCGCCCGCATCTTCGCGTGCTCGGAGACGCAGAAGTTCGGCCACGTCACCTACTTCTGGAACGGCAACCGGAGCGGGAAGCTCGACGACGCCCAAGAGACCTTCCACGAGATCGAAAGCGACCGCGTGCAGTTCAACACGAAGCCCCGGATGAAGGCCGCGGCGATCACCGACGCGGCGACGCAGGCGCTGCGCAGCGGGGCCTACGACGTCGTCCGGATTAACTTCCCGAACGGGGATATGGTCGGCCACACCGGCGACCTCGCCGCGACCGTCGTGGCGGTCGAGGCCGTCGACGAGGCCCTCGCGAAGCTCGCGGCGGCGGTCGACGCGGTGAACGGCGTCTTTTTGATCACCGCCGATCACGGCAACTCCGACGATATGGCGCAGCGGGATAAAAAGGGAAAGCCGATGCGGGATGCCGACGGGAACGTCCTTCCCCTGACCTCCCACACGCTCTCGCCGGTGCCGCTGTTCATCGGCGGCGCGGGGCTCGACCCCCGCGCGGAGCTCCGCGTCGACCTCCCCATGGCGGGCCTCGCGAACGTCACCGCGACGTTCCTCAACCTCCTCGGCTTCGAGGCCCCGGAGGATTACGAACCCTCGCTTATTCACATCGTCGAGTGAGTGCGGTGAAAGGAGGATAAAAGCGAGGGAGGGGGAGAAGGCGAACCCCCCTCCCTTTTGCCATCCCAAACACCCTGGGTAAAGTTCTTTAGGGAGCCCTGGATGCGGGTTATTTCTCCATCCATTTCTTTATCTATATAAATACTTTGATTCAGCGTTACATTTCAAGAAATTTTAATATTATCATCATCGGTACAACAGTGGGTCCCTGAAGTTTTTTGAGTATAATTTAACAATAGCAAAATAAGAAAGAATTTCTATTAATGGCCCGATCTTCTCCTCAGCTCCTCCTAGTAGGCTCATAACATTTTGCTACTAGATTATATAAGTATACACGCATATGAGCTTTTTGTAGGGAAGAAATAAGGAAAGAAATTCGTGGAAAATTACAAAGTGCATTTTTAGAGAAGTGGCAGAAATTAAAAAAGCTGATTTTGGCTGTAATTCACTGATCATAAACAATTCATAAGAGTATCAATAATTCAGCAAGATGTTTGCATAATTAGGAAGAAACACACACGCATGAAAAAAGAATATAATTACACCACATTGTTCACCTGATCATTTATTCGTGAAGCTTCACTGGGAGTAGGTATGTGTGTCTGTCAACTCCTGTCTCTTCTAAAGCCCCTGTGTCTTTCCTCATTGTAGATATTATGTATTCCTAGATCCGTGGATGTGAAATTGGACGGGTACAAGACAATCCTTATTTCAGAACCTAAATAAAATCTATTGCGTATCTACATATATATATATATATATATATATATATGTTATATATAGAATCTGCTATTATGAGGCCCACTAATATTAGCCCCGGCTTGGGTCCGCTGAGCCGCTAACCCATGGAAACATTATTTTAGAATGCGGTGGTCCATCGCTTCTTTCGCGCCCTTCTTCGATATCAGCGGCATCACTTACCTCATGAATCATTCTCTGGGCTCGGATGCAAAGGTCTTAGCGTGGTCTACTCCCAATGAACTCTACGTAGTTGAAGGGGTAGGCATCTAAAAAGGGCAGAAATACTGCGCGCATCCAACTACTTCTGAAGCTCCCATGAGAAGTACGAATTTGTATTCAAAAAGGCCGCCTGCAATCTTTACATTCCCCTTTTCACCACCGAAACTCACTTTCGTTGTTTTTTTCTCTGTGTGTATGTGGAGGAGGAGGGGGGGAGTCGTATCACATGCTGTTTTCAATTTTACTTTTCCATATACTCATGTGTTATACTCTCCAGGCTATGGAAAATGTTGCGCTAAAATAGTGATACCGATATCATTGGTAGGGAACATATGTCCTGTTATGAGTGAATAAATTACTTCCTCTTGGTCAAAGACCTTTTCAATAGCACACACACAAAAAGCGATCATATTATTAAAAATAAAAGTATGGAGTTATGGACCATCGATTCTCCCAATTAGAGCAGAATTTAAGGCTTATCCAGCAAGCAGATCCAATCTTCGCGTCAGGTTACTCGCTCGTTTATGATCGCGAAGTGCCTTGTGAATTTAGAAATCGCAACGCGAACCCGCTATTCCGTGGGGTCTTAGAATGCGTAAAGGTTAGAGTATTTATAAAGGGGGATGAATGCAATTTGACGTCCCTTCTGGTCGAGATCACCACCGACGTGGATGTCTTCATGCACTATACATGCATTATCAATGACAATGGATTTTTGAGACTTCGTGAGGATCAAAATCTCCTCTGCGAGTATTCCCAGTTCCTCAAAACGTTGCTTGTGCTGTTTAATCGATGCATCGCGGAGCAAGGCCGACTTTTGTGCGCAATAATCTTTGAAACAAAAGAAAACGCCTCGTTAGAATTCATCGAAAATTTGCAGTACAAGATGGTTCGCGTTCTACTTCTGCCGTTAAAGGCTTCCTCTCCAGAAGTGGTTCGGGAACAAGTTCAGTATCGCTACACCGCCACGCTCGCACGCTTGAACTTAGTGTTGGAGCAAATGGATCAAAAGTGACCTATGTTAGATTGGGAAATAAAGTCTGGTAGAAGGGATCCTAGTGCTTTCTCGCATATATTAAAGCAACCTGTTGCATGAGACCAAATTCCTTTATATATATATATATATTTGTACATATTTGGTTCGACTAATGTTCGATGATGAATGAAGTTTACGTATTGCTGTGTTTTCATCAATTCTATCTCTGTAGGATGTCGTGGGTTTATGATTTCTCTTCGGATTTGGTGAATCTTCTTCGTTTGCATTGGTGTTAAATAATGGAGCTCTAGATTAGTAAGACGTTATCGTTATGACTACTATCCATTGTGGAATGCTTTTTATGAATAATGCACGTTTTTCCCCCTTTAGGGTCTTGTTATAGAAGCACTCTTGGATCTTGATGGACGGTAAGAACGCCATGAGCTTGCCGAGAATGTGATTTTTCATCCGATACTTCTGATAGAGCAGTCTGTGTAGAATTTTTATGGCAGTGTCGAATTCATGTTGCGCTTTAAATTCATCGTTTTGCGGCTTCCTATGTGCGTTTTTGCACGATATTATGGCATTATGCGCATTTTTAGAATAGTCAGGAGCTGAATTAAAAATATCAGATGTTATATCATAAGACCTCCCCACCAGTGTTATGCTTTTCCTTTTTAAAAAAAGTACCATTCGTGCAAGATAATTTTTATCTGTTCTATAACCCTGGCGTTGATAAATATCTTCTAATAGGTAGTCATTCGCAAAACTACATTCGTATGTTGTTGCACATTCCTGATAATGAAGGCATCCCTTAGGTTATTCAGTCTCTCGCGTTCCCTCAACCCATCTGAGCTTCTCAAGACGATTCGGGCGGACCCTGGAATGACGGCGGTGTACTACGCGAACCGCTACTTTGGTAGCGATAAAGTGATGCAAATTAACCACATCCTGTGGGGGCAGCTCAAACGGTGTGGAAAAATCTATCATGAACGCGGCGAGGAGGAGGAGGCGTTGCCGAGGTGGTTTCCCACCTTCGGGATGGCGCGAATTCATCGCGTGCAGCGGCATGATCCTAATGAAGAAGATCTTTCCCTTCTGAACGCGTTAAAAGACGCCCGCTCAGAGGCCTCCGCGTGGTCCGATTCTCCTGGCGTCCCCGCTCATAGCGAGGTATCGTTTGATTCCAATACTAACAACGACGACGCGAAGGGGGAGGATACCCTTGAAGTGGAGATGGCTGTCATGCGAGAGGTACAAAAGGAGCCTGGAAAGGATATTCAGCATTATATTCACCGCCTGCCTAAACCCATGCAGCGGAGTGCTCCTCTCGCATTCAAGCGGCTGCGCGAGTCTGGCATGATCAAGCGTGAATTCACTTCTGCGGGGTCATTTATATGGAGTTGAGCAAGTTATAAACCTCAAAGAGGAGGAGGAGGAAGAGAAGAAACGGGACTTTGCATCAATGTGAACGTAACCTGTATTCTCCCCACCGTCGTTAGTATCTGAATCGAAGAATTGGAAAGATTGGTTTTTATTCTATATAGGAAATCTATGTTTCCGATGTTATCGCTTTTGTCGTCTGTATTCTCAATTGATTCCGTCCTGGCTCCTCATGCTCTCTCTATCTCTCTCTCTCTCTCTCCAGTGTTCACGCTGTCAGCGATTTGCTATTTCATCATGAGTATTTAGAAGTGCTGTGAAACGTTCCTCGATGAAGAGAGTGGGTCTGGGAATAGTGAGTCAAGGATGTTGTTCTTATTTGGTGGACATGTGAAGTCATGCAAAGGAGGGAAGCTTCTCCATAAAATGTTCGATGCACTGTATGATGTCTCACCGCGTCTTCCTTTGTCCTATATTTAGTACTATGTTTTGAAATTTGCCTTTCTACGATGTTCATTCATTTGCACTTTTTCCCTTATTTCTATACACACACCCAAAAGTGGAGGGAAGGGAAGGGAAAGGAAAGGGACTAGAACGAAAGTGAAACAAAAGCTACGTCGCGGTACTAAACTTCGTCTATACCATCGCGCTCCAAGGGAGAAGTAGTAATCCTTCCTCAAGTACTCTTTGGAGATTTGGACGAGTCTCACGACCCTCATACATTTTTTTCTTCGTTTGTAGTCTCATTCACTTATAAACACGCCTAGAAGTGGCGGTGGAATCTGAGGGAAAAGCCTCCTGCACCCCTCCCCGTCCCCCACCCCTCCGGATGGGATCCTTTAGCAACTCCGCGGAGGCGCCCCCGCTCGCCATCGCGGCGGGCGGCACCAACGGATCCCCCAGCCACGCGCACACCTCCGCCGTCACGCGGTCGTGGTCGGATGTCAACCAGGTGAAGCTGCTCTCCACCTTCGCCGCGACCTCCTTCGTGTACAGCCTCTTAGGGCACCCGCTGTTTCTCGTAATCGCGCGGCAGCAGTGCGAGAAGTTCCACATCTCCGCGTACGAGGTGGTCTTGGATGTGCTGCGGGGCTACGGGCTGCGGGGGCTGTATCACGGCGCGGGCGCCGCGATCACCGGCACCGTCCTCAGCGAGCTCCTCTACTACACCTGCCTGGAGTACTGGAAGGAGAAGCTCCCGCACGAGGATCGGGAGTGGCGAAGCTTCGGCGCCGGCCTCCTCGCGGACGCCTTGTCGACGCCGTTTTTCAACCCTTTTGGGGTCGTTTCGCAGGTGCAGATGGTCGCAGGGGGGAGTTTTGCGAGCGAGCATAACTACATGTCCGCCTGGCGGACGATGCTCACCCTCACGCGGGAGCAGGGGGTGCGGCGTTTGTTTCGCGGCACCTTCCTCACGCTGGTGGTGGCGCCCTTATCCGGGGCGTGGTGGTTTGCCTACGAGTTTTTAAAGGCCTACGCGTACGGCGTCGGCCCCGCCGTGGGGGCGTTTCTCTCGCGAAACCTTCCCCTCCCGTTGATCGCGCGTCTGCCCGCATACTGCACCTCCACTACGGATAATTTGCTCATCAACTGCCTCGTCGCGACCTCGACGAGCGTGGGGATGGGAATCCTGATGAACCCGATCTACGTCCTACGCCTGCGTCTGCAGGTGAACAAAACGGTGCGGAATGTGCGGTGCCCGATCTTTTACATCTTGAAGGACATCCTTCATCATGAGGGGGTGGGGGCGCTGTGGAAGGGGCTCGGGGTGAATCTGTTCGCAGCGGCGATGGGAGGCTGCGTGTTTGGGATCACTTATGAAAGCGCGAAGAGGTTTTCCGATAATACCGACACCGCCCACACTCCCGGTTGAGCTCTCATAAGAGAGTGTGGCAAGTCGAGTTTCCCCTCTTCTCTTCTTCTTCCTTACCCACAAACATCTGATGACTTGCGGCTGTTAGACGTCTCGCGCAAGTTTATCTGGAGAAGGGAGGAAGGACAGGGAAGGGGGAGCGAGAGCGAAAAAGGGAGGAAGAACCTGCCGTGAGGCATATATTTGCTATTACTGCCTCGTTGTCATGTCGCGGGTGCTTCGGAACCTTTTTTTTTTTCGCCTAGTGAGTGAAGGCGGGGGTGCCTATACAATTCTGATTGGAGACACTTCACCATGCTTAATCAAGGAAAAAGAATATGACCGTCGTTTTGACCTCTTCCGGACAGGCAACCTGTTGATAAACCTTGTTGATTATGTTTGCGTTTTTCGGTTACATTAGGATTTTTAAAAGTAAAAATTCAAGCGGAGAGGGAAAGAAGGAACACAAACCACTGTCGTCTCCAAGTGAATACGTTTTTGTTGTGGGGTAGATATTCCACAGTACCCTTTCTTTCTTTCCTCTTTTTTTACAGCTGACTTTTTATATTCAACGGACATTGTGCCTTTTTTTATTTTCATTTCGAAATTTAATTTAAAAGCGCAAAAGGGAAGTTGATATTTTGAACAATTCCGCACATTTGTTTTTGTCTTTTTCATAATAGAAATAACCATTAAACTTTTTTTTTTTTGCAATCACAGTCGGTTCACACGCGCAAAACGTCACGCTTCGTGCCGTTTTAGGAGTTTTCACTTTTCCGGCTCCTTCCTCTGACCCATCGTCCTGCGTCGTTTGGTGTGCAGACATCGGAAACGTGGCCTAATCACAAGGAACTTTTATATGCGTGTTTTACTATCATTCGAATACATTTAGGTACGCCATTTTCAACACCAGCTTTTATCTTTTCCACATACTTTGTCGTTTAGCATCCTCGGCCAAACCAATCCTTTCGTTTTGCCTCGCTATTCGACCAAGCCCGACGCCAACAAACAAACTTGGTGTCTCCGTTTCGCTACCGGTGCGTGAAATATTGAAAGTGTGATATCGTACTTAACACATCTCTTCACTTAATTTTTTACCTAATATATATATATATATCTATATATAGATATAGATATATCCTTCTCTCCGACACCCGTGCTCTTGCCCCGCACGAGTGCTTCCTGCGTGTTCTCTTAAGCCCATCCCAGCAGAGGGGTCTCACGGTCGGACCGGTTCGTGGTTGGCGCCTGTGTGAAGCGGCCCTTCCCTTTCCTTCCCCTTGCGATGAACGGGTCGAAACCGGGGGTGCTGCAGCACGGCTCGCACCCCGAGCACGGCTTTCTCTGCCTCCCCTACGCCCCGCAAGGGCATCAATGCACGATCTGCAAGGCGGCCGCGAGCCACTCCGAGGTGGCGTGGTTCCGCTGCTGCGAGCCCGAGTGCCCGGCGCTGCTCTGCCATAAATGCTTCGAGGTCGACGAGCAGCTCTTCGGCGCCGTGCAGGTGGTGATACGGAGCCCGCTGATTCCGCACGACGACGCCACCGCCGCGGTGCGGACCCGGCCGCGGCCGAACAGCCACAAACTCGCCCCTCTCTACGCCGGGAAGTTCATGGAGGTCGTCTCCCGCGCCGTCTGCCTGGAGGATCCGAAGCAGGTTTACTTCCGCCTCCGCTCCGGGGGGTGGATTAACTCGAAGCACGTCGTCTGCGCGATCCCCTCCGAAAACCTCATCGAAAGCCTCGCGTGGATGCACCTCAAGGCGAACGCCGGAGGCGGAGGGGGCCTTCCCAGCACGGGCTGCAACGCCTGCTTCGATTTCATGCCCGGCATGGTCGTCGACTAC